AAACCATTAAGCCCGCTGGATGGGGATCCAGTACGCGACGGGCTCAACCCCCCTCCAAACTGTGTGTGCTAGTTTGTATGGGTCCAGAGAGAAGAAGAAAAAAAAGACCAAAACCAAGATAACCAACAATGCATGACTCTAATTCAAGACGGGATCATCTACCCTGAGCATCTCTACCCTGAATATCAGCGTTCTAACAAACCAGATTCGGGGTCGAGTCCTGCCGAGGACCCGGTCGAAGTTGCATTAGGTCCGGGTCAGAGATATGGATGGTGGTAAGATCATGATTCAGAGAACTCATATGAGATCGCGACTGTGTGTGGGGCGATCAATGATCGGCGAACGCGGATATTCCTAGACACGGGTGCTTCGGTGAGTATTGTGAGTCTAAACCTAGAGCGTAGACTCAGTCTCAAAATCCGAACGCATCGGCAGATCAAAGTGTCTGGCCTGGGAGGGATCCCGACGTATATCCCCTCGCATGCTCGTGTCAAGATTACCCTTGGTTGGGAAGTGGTCTAGATTCAAGATGTCTGGATCGGAAGTATTGGTGAAGGTGTGGACGTATTGCTAGGAATGAACTTCATGTACTCGGCAGGAGTTCGATTGTGTATCCGTGAGGGATTAGTCAAGCTACCGGATGAGGAGAATGTTGTGATGCATGATGATGTTCCGAGGAAGCGGAGAGGGCTGGAATTGCCGGTCTGTGCGAAGGAAAGTTTATATCTGCGTCCGGGAGAAGCAGCGGTAGTAAAAATTGAATATGGACAGACCAACCCGCAGCGAGAAGTGGTATGGGCCGGACGGGGAAAACGGTGGGTGGCGGAGATCCTGTTTGGAGCCCGGTCCTGGGCTACGGCGGTCCGAGTGGTCAACGACTCGGACAGAAATGTCTGGATCGACACCCGGACTGCACTTGCTTGGATTGTGGAATACGGGCACTTCCCGAAGGAGCCAGGATTTGTCCGCCCAGGGAAGACCAGGTATAAGGAGTGGCAACGGCTTATTCTCGAGAGCACCGAATCGCGTCAGGGTCGGATGCGGGCTGAGCGCCTAGAACAGTTAATGCGACTACGAGACCCCCCCCCGCGGTGCCACGACCATAACATCAGTGGCCGACAAAACTCCTAGTATGCCCAAAGTCTCAGGATGCAGAAGTTCGGATGGTACTACTGCGGGAACAGCCAGAAGTTGTGGAGGTTTCCCTCGCTGCGCGACGTGCTACCACCCCAAAACCAGAGGCAAATGCCTTACGTGTGGAAGATCCGACAGATGTCCCGGTGACGACATCCGCCGAAGAGACCGGAGCTGTAGACACTAGAGATGTTGGTAACCAAGTTGATTTCCCAAGCTCTTGTGAATACAGCGCTTCAGGTCGGTGTAGTTGAGTCTCTGACCAACCCGCCAAGCCTAGAGTCCGAGAGACGAGGGCTCAGAACCGTCTACGACTGGGGCGACCGTAGAGAGTGCAGAGGACTCAGAGCGACTACGGAGCGCATTGGATCTGAGAGAAGATCTAGCCGCCTTTTCAAGAGCGAGGGATCCAGAATATCACCCGTCGACAGGACCGGGGCACTTCGCCTCAGAATCAAACGACGATTCAGAGTTCGTTCCAGATTTCGACTCAGAGGACGTGCTAGGGGACGTCCTTGACAGCGCATTGGATGACTTTTCAGACACCACGGATGATGCCTCGGACCTCTCATACACTCCTGTTTAAAGAAGGGAACAGGTATACGAACGTGTCATTGCGAGTGACCGTCGAAGAGTTAGATCTGGAACCTGCTGTATATCTGCGAGAAGGGACGGAGCTCTTGGCTCAGTTGAGCGATCATCTGACTATGTTTCCAGAGTTAAAAGAATTGATCCCGGAGTGTGACATCGACAAAGCTGACGTTGGCGTCCCAGGCGTCACGACGCCAGAGATGGAGGACAAGATGCGAAGGATCTTGAATTATCATCGTCGTGTCTTTTTAGGTGATGGCAATGCCCAGCTCGTGGAGTCGTTTGTGACTTAGATGTGGGTGATACGATGCCGATAGCACTGCGTGCTCGGCAGATCACCTCCAGATATTTGGTGAAAGTTTACGAACTGCTGAAGAAGCTCCTAGAGACTGGACTCATTGAACATTCTGAATCGGAATGGTCGTCCCGATCGTGATCGTTTTGAAGAAGAATGGAGTGGATATCAGAATGTCTGTTGATTATAGGCTGGTTAACCAGTTGATCAAACTATCGCGACATCCTCTACCTCTGATTGACGACTTGCTGACTGACGTTAATGCTGTGGCATGGCTCATGAGTCTAGATATGGCGAGCGGCTTCTGGGCGGATCAGATGACAGAGCGGGCGAAGTTGATTTCGGCCTTTGTCTGTCCATTCGGATATTTCCAGTGGATTTGGATGCCTTTTGGACTCAAGAACGCGCCGTTAGTGTATCAGTGTGTGATCAACAACTGTCTCTGGGGATTTGTGCGGCTCCCACCTGAAGAAGAGAATAAGGTCGATCGAGATGTCCTGGAATTTCTGAAGTTGACCGTCCCAGACACAGGACCGACGTTCGAGAATCCTCAGGGTGAAGGAGGTTTCAAACTTCCAGAATTGATGAAGGAGGCGAATGCATTCAGGCGAAACATTCCGACCCCGACGCAGATGGTATCGGTCCTGGGACAAAGCTCTTATAGATGACATAGCTCACGGGGCGCATACCTGGGACAAACTTTGTGAAGACCTGAATGCTCTGCTATTCCGACTCTGATACTGGAATATCTCAGTTAGTCTCCCGAAGAGCGAGTTCGGTAAACAAGCTATACCGTATCTATCTCGCGAAGTCTGTGCCGAAGGTTTCAGAGCTACCCCGAAGATCGCCAAGAGCGTTCAGGACCTGCCTTTCCCATCGACACTGAAGGGCGTTCAATCATTCTTAGGAAGCTTGAATTACTACAACAAGTTTATCGAAGATTTACCTGTTGTCGCAGCTGTGCTTTACGAGCTGGATGATGATCGCATTCGCGCTGGACAGGATTTGGATAGGACAAAGGAAGCGTTCGAGATTCTAAAACTCAAGATTACATCGACGCCGCTGCTGCGCCATCCCGATTGCACCAAGCCGTTTGTCATCATCCCACATGCAAACCCTGGGCGGCTTGTGCCGTCCTGGGACAGGAACATGAGGGAATCATCCAACCAGTGCGCTTTACAGGGCGAGTTTTGAATGAGTCCGAACTCATGTACCACATCGCAGAAAACGAGGTGTTGGCGGTCCTGTGAGTCCTGGAGCAGTTCCGTCCGCTCATCTACGGTTCTGAGATACCGATCGTAATCTATACTCGGTATTCGGTCCTGAAGTGGTTACTGAGGTCAAACCCCGCCGACGACCGTCACCTAAAGTGGGGTTTAGAATTGTCGAAGTGGACACTGGAACTACGCCGTGTGCAGCGCGATGAAGATGGATTAGCTGCCATCCTCAGTGCAGGTATTACCCCCAGGAAACACTTAGACGAAGTTGCTGAAAACCTGATCCCGGCTAAGGGGCGAATCAAAGCACCTCTGCCAATCAGTGTATATACGCTGGATTTAGACTTTGAAGGATATGTTCTGAGCTTCGATGGTGCAGCCAAGGTCTCCACTAGACAGGGAAGTTGTGGATGTATTTTGTGGCGTTTACCTGGCTGACATGTCCTGAGCGCCCACGGATTCCCCTTGGATGAATGATGTGACTGTGAACGATGCAGAGTATCACGGGTTGATCAAAGGT